TCTATTCTATTCTATTCTATTCTATTCTATTCTATTCTATTCTATTCCCTTTAATAACAAATGCATTTAGCAAAGTAAATCAATGTTTCTCAAGCTTGACAACTTTTAAGATGTGTAGATATGCATGGCTGGCTGGGGAATTCTGGGAGTTGAAGTCTACACATCTAAAAGTTGCTAAACTTGAGAAATGTTGCTATAAATCTTTGCATATTTTTATTTATTTTATCAGGTCAGTGAAATGTCAAACAGATGTGTATTACACTGTTGGACAAATACATTGACTCCCATATGGCTGTGAATCAAATCCAGTGTGTGTGTGTGTGTGTGTGTGTGTGTGTGTGTGTGCGTTTTAAAATGGTGCAGAAAATTATAAGGAAGTAATATCTACCTGAACTTATAGTCACGAAAGGTCATCTGCTGAGCTTTAAGTTTGGAAAGTAACAGTTTCAGAATGATCAGGAAGATGCAGAAATTAACCTTAGAAAACACACATCACAGATCACAGTTGGTTTCTCCAAATACAATAAATCTTTGTTTGTTCATAAAATTATTTCCTAAGGGAAGACAACTGCAAGAAACACCCTTCAGACTGTTTTTAATAAGTTTAATGTACTATATGGAGTCTCGGCTTTCAAGTATTTCCTATACAGTGTTGTTGCTCTGTCCTGCTTGTATTTTGAAAACTCAAAGCTTACCAATAGTAATTGGAGATCAGGGGAGGAAAGGGTTCACTATTACATGAACCAAAAAGAAGGCCAAAATGCTGAGATTTAATTGGCTAAGTGGCTTCTACAGAAGAAAAATATATACAAAATATCCTTGAACTTAAATAATTTTTCCAATGCCGTATTGTCACAAAAACAATAAATAAACATTTCTGACTTTTCTTCCTAATTTAGAATGATGATCGTAATTATTGGACACAGATCCTTCCTGCTAAGTTGCTATTTGCCAACTCTGGACTCCTCTTAAGGAGTAATTACAGCTTAACATTGATATAAGATATAATATTTTCAAATAACTAGAATCTTTTGAGCTACATATTTGCTACCTAAAACCTGACAGGAGGACAATAGGAATCCTTCATGTCTTTCTTACCTCAGAAAGGCAACTCTATGGAAATGGAGGGCCTGTATGTGAACTGATGACCTGGTGTTACTTATGATTTGCAAACAAGTTGTTTATAGATGTTGAATTCTAACCCAAGTTTGAAAGCTCTTGCTGTACCTCACTGATTTGAGTATTAATCACAGCGTACAGTAAAGAATTTCCCAATCTAGACATCCCAAATGGATTGATTACAAGTCCCCATCATCTTTTTCCTTATCCTATCATTACATCTCCTTGAATTCTGTAAATTATTCAAAGTGCCCCTTTTGTCTTTGCTTATCTACTAACTAAAGTATAGGAAAATAAAAGCAATATTATACTGGATTCTCTGCACGATAAGATAGGAAGCAGTTTTCCAATGATCCTTACAACAATGGAAAATAACATGGGTCCTCGAATGATCCACCAGACTATCATGTTCTCATTTGTTGACCAGCATCTAGAAAACAAATAAATGTTTATTATGTCATGTAATAAAAAATGATAAACCACGTTTGTTATTATTCTTAAAAAACCTCTATAATTCATCTTGGTGAATTATAGAATTGTATCAAAACTCATTTGAAAAGTTTTAAAAGCTTCAAGGAAGATCAGCAAAACTGCTGTTGTATGCAGGATGTCTCACCTCTCCCGCCAAGTTTTGTTCTCTGGGGAAATTATCCATTGTATAGATAATACACTTTTTCCCCAATGGCACCACAATTTTAAAAGAAACTTAGCACTCCAGCTTTCCTCTTGAGATTCCTTCAGAACTTCTGAAATTGAACTCATTTATTCATTGTAGAGCAGGGGTGTCAAACTTGCGGCCTGCAGGCCAGACGCATCATGGACTGACCATGTCCATCCCCATTTTAGCAAAGGGGGAAAAAGTCGTGATACGTCACATGATGACATCATGTCATGAGTTTGACACCTGTGATGTAGAGGGATGGACCTAGAATCACTTAAGTTAGAAATTATTCTGAATCTCTGACACCTGATTCAGAATGTGATAGCCATCCATCACTTTTCTGGTGGAAAGAAATATAGTGTTATGGACCAGAGGATCAATAGCAAGAAGAGGAGGAGTCAGGAGTCCTTCAAAATATTCAAAACACAGCAATGGACTGATCTCCATTTCATGAGAATTGTTTGGGGCATAGTATACAAAGTGCCATCTTTTATACCACTAGACTTCACAAGGATGATAATATAAAAAAGGTATATCCTTGGCACACTTTAGAGTCAAAACTTGTTCTCAGTTCTGCAACACTTTAGAAATTAAAACTAAACTTGATATGCAACTACAGGGATTTTGGAAGGAAGAATTGGATCAACACTAACCTTTCTTGATTTCTAACAAATAATCCACTGGAAGTTTTCAAGAAATTGGACAATCATTTGTATGAAATGGTATAAGGTTTCCTACCTGAGCAAGGGGTTGGACTAGAAGACCTCCAAGGTCCCATCCAACTCGGTCATTCCATTATTATGTAAATCCAAATTCTCCCCTCCCTTTTTTAGCCTTTAAAAAAATATCTCTCTGATTGTCTTCACTGTAGCAGACTATAACACAATTTCTTATTTATAATGGGAATGGAGATTGCCAAGGGAGGATTGAATGAAGAATAATAATGATATTTTTAAAAAAGCCTTTCTCCTATTGGATATTTCTAAACTTTAAGATCCCATGAATGCCTACTTAGAAATAAGATAAATTAAATGCAACGGAGCCTACTTCCAGATTAGAACAGTGCAGAATTACAACCTTAACTTCTTAGAAAAGGACACAAGCAGACAATCTTCTTTCTCTGAATGATACTGAATTGCAATTCCCCACATTTTTCACTATAACCCATATTTCCATGGAATGTTGGGAGTTGTTCACAATATTTGGAGTGCCAAACATTGCCTATCCTGGGAATCCAGAGTGGTTTAACATTAAGAATGAAGAGCCTAATTATTCTGAATCTCTGACACCTGATTCAGAATGTGATAGCCATCCATCACTCTTCTGGTGGAAAGAAATATAGTGTTATGGACCAGAGGATCAATAGCAAGAAGAGGAGGAGTCAGGAGTCCTTCAAAATATTCAAAACATTCTTCCCTTCCTTTAAAACACTCAGAAGAGTATATATATATTGAGCTCCCAGTACTGTTCCATTGAAATCAGGCCCACTCAATGTCTACAAGCATCCTTACCATTCACAAGAATTATCTTATCACATCTGGTGTTCTGAGCCCAATTCTAAGTATGGCCAAAGCCCAGCTAGACATACATTGACTCTATTTTCAATGTCTTGCCATTTTTTTAGGACTATTCACAACCTAAGATACCTTTGTGGCAGTGCTGTATACATCTTTGCTTTCTTATTTCTGTTTTAACATGATGAAAGTTTCTTCCCTTTTTGCTGTTTCTTCCTTTCTGTCCTTTGTTCTGCTCCTCTTTCAATCTGGAGTAGGCCATAGAAGTGATTTTTGCTGCATTCTAACCTTTCTAGTTAGCATATTTTTAAAAGTTAAAATTATGCCTTTAATCACAATTTTGCCTTTAATCATGTGTTTAGGAGGCTACACTTTTTTTTTTCTTATTGCCTAGCAATGTAGCCACCATAACAAATGGTTGATCATCTTTAGTCTAAACATTGTGGGAAAATAAACAAAAGGCTCTTTTTTCTATTGGCACAAAAAAGGCAAGAAAAGAAACAATGAAACCAATTAAGGGAACATTTAAGACAGTAACTTACACGTTATGATCCAATTGGTATTTTAATATTCCCCAAGGAGCTACAAACAAAACTGGAAAACCTGAAAGGAAAAATATAAAGCGGATATTCTTGTTTGACAAGGCCTAATATAATTTCTGAGAATATCAAGTCTTTTGAGTTAAAAGCAGTTCTAGTTTGATTGATTTACTATTGCCCTCTTCTATTTTTTCTCCAACATCACAGTCTAATATATTATTAAATCAATATAACAAGGATAGCTGATATATAGGGATTATCACTAGTTATGTAAATAAAGGAAAGGCTAATGTCCTCAATAATTTTGTTTTTCTTAGAGTTTGTTCCTTGTAAAAAAAAAAACTTTTTCCCACTCAACAAATATTTTCATAGATATTTGTTTTCTGGTTTTTGCGTACTTTGAAAGTCTCCAAGCAAATAATGGCAGCAGTAAACCGCAAGAACTGCATTTATCTAATAATTTGATGTAAAAACCAAGAGCAAATTTAGCTTTCTCTGCTGACTGAAATATTTTCAACAGGACAATAAACAGGTACTAAACGAAAGATTAGTTTTGACTCATGCCAGCCGAATAACTGAACCAATCATGAAACTGACTGAGGTAAACCTTGTTGTTGTTGTTGTTGTTGTTAGTTGTGAAGTCATGTCCGACCCATCGTGACCCCATGGACAATGTTCCTATTAGTCTATAAATCAAGTCCTTCTCCTTGGAAAAGTGCAAGCTTACCCCATCCAATGAAGATGTATCTCAACAGTTGATGTTTCTCAAACAGCACAGTAGCTACTAATAGCCTGTAGAGGTAAATTCCTTCCACTAAAAGCCAGTAAGAATTTGCTCCAACAACATAATGCATGAAAAGAGGACCCATTTTGCATAAGGCTAGTTTCTGCAAAAATGAAACAAAAAAGAAGAATAACACTGTGCAGAATCCCAGTAGGAATTAATTTATTTTGCCCTTGAGTTTATTGGCTGCAAGAATACATGCTACTTGTCTGGAAACAATAGGACAGATGTTACATTTCAAGTCCAAGGGGTAAAGTGTTGCTAATATTAAGCAGGTCTGTTGAAAACTCATTCAGAAGTTTCGTGTTTGAATTTTGTTCCTCTTTCTTTCTTTTAAACTGCCTCATTTTGGGACATCATGCTTTAATTTATTGTGTTGTGTTGCCTTAGTGATTAGAATGCTGTATTGCAGGCTAATTCTGCCAACTGCCACCACTTTGATTCTCACCAGGCTCAGGGTTGACTCAGTCTTCCCTCCTTCTGAGGTCAGTAAAATGAAAACCGAGATTGTTGGGGGCAATATGCTGATTCTGTAAACCATTTAGAGAGGGCTATAAAGCATTATAAAGCAGTATATAAGTCTAAGTGCTATTGCTATTGCTATTTTTTTCTGAGGGTTCACAAAATAGTAGTCTATAAACAATATATACAGACAAAAACTATTTTAATCTGCTTCCTGATCTTGTACGTCAATTATTGTTGCTTAAAATTAGCCACTAGTTCTCAGGCAGTAAACACGGGATCAGTATCATATAAATGTTACGAATGAATGTAGCTAGAAAATATAACCCTGCAACTTTTATTGCTTCTTAGTTTAAAAATATACGTGGAGAACAACAGACATCATTCTTGCTGCTTCGGTCACTTAATATGAACACTGCCTGCTGCAATACCTCTGGACTCAAGGAAGAGATCCATCCACTTTCATCAGCCGGCATTTCAGATTCTGAAGAAATAAACTTGTAAGTACTGCGTGTTATGCTGTCTTTTATTAGAACTCCTGCAGCTCGGAGGATAAACGAAGCAAAGAGATTCATATGGATGTAGTTTCTCGTGCAATGCAGTTTCCTGAAGGGGAAGAAAAGCATAATTGAGTAAAGTTGTATTCGATGTATTGTACATAGTGTTTTTCTTTTTTAATATTTAATAAAGTTTTCTTTTTAAAAAAGAAAAGAAAAGCATAATCTAAGAATAAGAATATGCCAAAGTTAGTTATAGTTTTATCAGAAGAGCAATGTGTTATTTTCCTGATGTGACTGGGAAACTATACTCTTCTTTTTGGATGAGGGTGGCCTGATCATGAAGGGTTTTACTGGACTGTTTGCTTAGCACTTAGACTTATGAGCCATGGTGGTGCAGTGGTTATAGTGCAGTACTCCAGGCTACTTCTGCTGACTCCCGACTGCCTGCAATTTGGCAGTTGGAATCTCACCAGGCTCATGGTTGACTCAACATTCCATCCTTCCGAGGTGGGTTAGAGAGGGCTGTAAAGCACTGTAAAGCGATATACAAGTCTAAGTGCTATTGCTATATACTGTTTCACAGTGCTTTGCAGCCCTCTCTAAGCAGTTTGCAGAATCAACATATTGCCCCCAACAATCCGGGTCCTCATTTTACCCACCTTGGAAGGATGAGCCAGTGAGACTCAAACTGTCAAACTGCTGGTAGCTGGCAATTAGTAGAAGTAGCTTGCAGTACTGCATTCTAACCACTGCACCATCACAGCTCTTAGGTGGACTTAAGTTGACTCTTAGCTTAGTTAGGTGCAGGGGTGGGATTCTACAGGTTCCCACCTATTCGCTAGAACCAGTTGTTAACATTCTAAACAGTTCAGAGAACTGGTTGTTAGAAGAAATTACTGGCCTAATCCTGTAAGGAAGGCAGGAAGGAAACATTCTGGTGTTGCTTACAGAAACTGCCTCTCTGTTAACTCTTATTACATTCTTGGCAGGACTAGACTACCTGTCTCAGGAACTTCTCTGGAGTTATTTTCCCCTCCTTTGCTGGTACTTTGCTTGTGTGGAGTGACCATTCAAAGTGACAATGGCACTGAAAAAAGTCACTTATGACCATTTTTCACACTTACGACCGTTGCAGCATCCCCGCAGTCACGAGAGGCCAGGCGAGGAGAAGTGTGCCTCAATGTGAGTGATGTTGAGTTGGCCACGCCCAGACAGTCACATGACCACCAAGCCACACCCACCAACTAAGCCACGCCCACAGAACTGGTTGTTAAAAAATTTGAATGCCATCCCTGGTTAGTTGTGTGGAAGGTGAAACTGTATAGGATGCCACAGCTAGATTGTATCAAATCTTTCAACTTTCAATTTCCAAACATTAGGAATGCTCAAAAGTTGTGACATGCCTTGGAGATTGCAAAGATATTCTAATTACTTTAATATAATTTAATGTGCTTGATAAATAACTACATAAACATCATAACTTTTTAACATTTCTTTTGTTTCAGATGTCTTTGCTGAAAAAGCAAATTCATGGCATTTGACATATTCTGCATATTCGTACCAGGGATTTAGATTAGGAGCTTTTATTCCCTTGATGGCAATAGCACTTAGACTTATATACAGCTTTATTGTGCTTTACAGCCCTCTCTAAGCGGTTTACAGAGTCAGCATATTGCCCCCAACAATCTGGGTTCCCATTTTACCCACCTCAGAAGTATGGAAGACTGAGTCAACCTTGAGCCTGGTGAGATTCGATCTGCCAAATTGCAGGCAGCCGGCAGTCAGCAGAAGTAGCCTGCAGTACTGCACTCTAACCAATGCACCACCGAGGCTCCTAATGTTATGTCCTCCTCTCAACATAATCAGTTTTTCCCAGTTGCTGCACAAATTCACTTCTGTTCAAAGGTTCCATTTCAAAGAATCCCATAGGGCACCATTCCCTCCATAAGGTGATCAAATGGTGATAGGATTTACAGGTAGTCCTGGACTTACAACAGTTCATTTAGTGACCATTTGAAGTTACAACCATGCTGAAAAAAATGACTTATTAATTCTCTCACACTTATGATCATTGCAGCATCCCCATGGGTCACATGATCAAAATTCAGGTGCTTGGCAACGGACTCATATTTATGATGTTTGCGGTGTCCAGGAGTCATGTGATCACTTTTTGTGACCCTCCGACAAGCAAAGTCAATGGGAAAAGCAGATTCACTTAACTACGGTGTTACTAATTTAATAATTGCAGTGATTTACTTAACAAACATGGCAGGAAAGGTCATAAAATGGGCCAAAACCCACTTAACAAATTTCTCACTTAGCAACATAAATTTTGGGCGCAATTGCAGTCATAAGTCAAGGACTACCAGGACTCAGATGTTCATAATCCTGTTCCTGCCTGTTCAAACTTTCTTCCATTGTGTCCTTCTCTTGTATGCTCCCAGTACAGCAGCAATTGTGAGGGTTCAGGCATTTTAAAGGGCGGGGGGATGAAATCATCATTTCAAAAAGCTCAGATGTTTAGCATTACTTGAGAATTCCTATCATAATATAATCACATTAATGTTCCTGTGTTTGACAAGTGAAAGCTCTTATTTGCAATATAACCAGATTCCAGAGGTCAATTAAGACAAATTAATGTACTGTATTGTGGAAGAATCCTAATAGAGGAATGGTTCAGGTATAATTTGCTAGACAGTGGGTGACTTCATTGTGCATCTCCTTCCCCTCCCGAGGACCTGCGTTGTCTTATTCATAGTAAGAATAATTATTGATTTAAAACAAAAGAATTATTATTTGCAAGATGTTCCTGCCACTGTTTATGTACTGGAAAATGTTCTTCTAGTCTGAACAGAGCAAATGAAAAGATAGCTGTTTAGCTGAGAGTGTAATAATGTTGATGATTGCAATCAAAATGTCAACGTTGCAGTATTTTAAAATTCTAATTCTTTTTTTTTTAAAGAAATGCATGCAGATATATAAAACTGAGCAGGACTGAGCAAAACCAGAGCAACAAGTGTTGCAGTTGGAATCAAAGTCAACAGTACTCACCAGCGACCATTCATCACTCCAAAAGTCTACAAGAGTTCAGTAACATTAAACATTAAATTTGTTCCTTGGTTCTGGATCTTTTCACTTTAAGGTTAGCCCAATTCAGAGCAAAAAGTGATACAATGAAATTGAAGCTTGATCTAGTACTAAAAGGTAATATAATACTAAATACTAAAAAATAAGGAGATTTTAGATTTTTATGAAAATATCCTTACATAAAATTCATAAAATCCAACTATGGGAGTGCTCATTTGTACATTTTAATCTGAGAATATTCTTTCCATATCCGTGACTCATTTACAATAAATAGCCGTGGTTTCTATAAGTAATCCATGTCACCAAAAAGGAAATTGTGTAAAAGAGAACAAAACTCAGAAATTATGCAGTAGTCTGGCACGAAGGAGTTATGTTGACTAGAAATGATCCACAAGGAATTGGCATATTTTGAAAAGCATTAGTGAAACAGTTACAACAAAATGTGCCTAAATTGTAGATAGTATATAGAAAAAGCCTGATGTTTGTCGTATTTCTGCATCTTTGAAGAATTCTCCTTATTTGTCTGCTATCTAACCAAGGATCATAAACAATCATTACAAGACAGCCCGCTTCCTTCCAAATACTTGGCTCTTTAAATGAAATGATTGCTGTACTCTTCATGAATTATATCGGCATGTTTATATAATAAACTTTGGAATAACTAAAACACTAAAATGATGAAAAACAACAACAACAGCCCTCACGCCATACTGAAGAACAGAGCAAAGTACAAAGTACAAAGTTAGAAATAAGCGTTGGAGAAAGGTTGAAGACTCAATTCCATGGCATATTTTTATTAAGCCATACCTGTATAAAACTGCCTTGTATTTTCATATGAGAACCAGTTTGGCATAATGATTAAAGGCCCCAGGCTAGAAACATGGAAACTGGGAGTTTTAGTCCCGTCTTAGGCATGAAGCGAGCTGTGTGATCTTGGACCAGTTTCTTTCTCCCAGATCCAGGAAAAAGGCAAAAGCAAACTACTTCTGAAATTATTGCAAAGAAAACTGCAGGGACTTTTTTTTAGGTAGCAGCAGGAGTCAAGATTGGCTCAAAGTTATCAAAACAAATCAATCCCCATATAAAACTATTAAGATTTCTTTTTCATTTTTCCTGTTCTTTCTGTTCTGATTCTCCAGACTATACACTTCATTACATTAAGTGGCCCCTCGTTAAAGTCTTTGCTACAACTTTATCTTGTATCAGCTTATTAAAGTTACTCATGTATTATATGCCTATTATTACTTGGTTCATTACTGATATAATGTAGGATACTTCAAACACAACATGAATCTCGAGGCTTTGATGGCTTTGTGAAATGTACTCAACACATCACTGTAATATTTAACACAGTCAAAGTTCTTTAAAAAAAAAAAAGAATAATGTTCTTGCCATCAAGTAAGCATATTAAATCTTTTAGGCAAATTTCTGCTGGTTATTCTACTTTCTCAAGCTCAGTAGTTGATGTATTTCATTGCTTTTATGTGTGAACATAAAATCATACAATGCAAATTGCAATGGAACTGAACCAAGTACATGAGTTTCAGGATGTTTTTCAGGGTCAGTTATAATTCTGTTCATCAAAATGGTTTGAAAGAGTTTGGATTCTCTCCGCTCTCTTCCTCTCATTACAATCTGTACTGTCCTATTCTTGGTAACAAAATTTTAATTGTAATTTAGGAATCCCATTGTTCCATTTACCAATGGATTTTACTAACAATCTTCACCCTTGAATTCATGGTAAGGTTGTTCGCTTGTATTTAAAGTGTCTGTGAGGATAGCTGGTAACCAGAGGTGGGTATTCAGCAGGTTCTGACCAGTTCTGGAAAACCGGTAGTAGAAATTTTGAGTAGTTTGGAGAACTGGCAAATACCACCCTTGACTGGCCCCACCCTCATCTACTCTCTGCCTCCCAAGTCCCAGCTGATCATCTGGATCTTCTTTTGTTGCCCTGCACAGGAGAACGGAGCTGGAAAACAGGTTAGTGGGGTGGGGAGAGAATGGGGATTTTACAGTAACCTTCCCCCTGGAGTGGGTGGGAATGGAGATTTTGCAGTATCCTTTCCCTGCCATGCCCAACAAGCCATGCCCACCAAGCCACACCCACTAAACCGGTAGTAAAAAAATTTGAATCCCACCATTGCTGGTAACTAAACTGAGCTGCATAAGATTATTCCATTCTAGGTCATTAAACTTGAGAATTTGTCTGGCTGGCTTGGTAGTAAATATTTGTTTACAGTAATAGCAATAGCACTTAGAACTTATATGTCATCCCATAGAGCTTACCACACTCTCTGGGTGGTTTACAGAGTCAGCATATTGCCCCCAACAATCTGGGTCTTCATTTTGCCAATGTTGGAAGGATGGAAGGCTGAGTCAGCCTTGAGTCCTCACAGGATCGAACTCAGGCTCTGAGCAGAGTTATTCTGCAATACTGCTTTCTAACCACTGCACCACGAGGGCTCCTTAATAAATAAATAACCGAATGTAGTGATTCCTCAGCAATTCCTTTAATTTCAGTGTTGATTCTCAATGGCTGACATTTGCAAACTAGTCACGACTGTCACAGACTTATTTGAGGAAGGATGATTTAATTTGGATGCAAATACTTTTGGGCAAAAAAAATTGGGTGATAAGGTAAATATATTGGAATAAGATATATTTTAAATATTTGATATGTTATTGAGTGTCATCAAAAACAATTATTTTACTAAGGCATGAGATATGAAAAACATTTTTTTCATTGTTTGAGTAATGTTTATAATTTTGTAATTCATTCCCTCATCTATTTTTCCTTTGTTAATATCTAATTTGGCCATTGTAGAAAGATATTTTTTTACTTCTTTGTATATTTAATAGTCTGTGATCAAGGGAAATCCTTTGGGAAGGTCTGACATCATCTCCTTCTCTGTTCTAACATATGTGGTGATGTATAAATCAAATAAATAAAATATTCTAATGAATAGTTAAAACAGACCATATTCTACTGAAAAAGAAAATGGTTATACTGACCTAAATAACAGCAGAATGATGAATGCTAAGACAAGGGAAACAAGAGAAATAGAATATCCCACAGTAGAAAGTTTTTCAAGTACCATAAACAATGCAAGGTCTTCTGGCTGGAAACAAAAAGAAACAACATAGTTAATGTAGTCAAGTTTTCCTGGAGGAAATAAATTAACAAATATCAGATATATGTGAGTTCCCAAAACATCTACTACTATGTTGATACATACAGTTGACTGCAAATTTTTAGGCATCCCTGGTCTACATGAATTAGTACCATCACTCATACCTTGGTCATCATCCATCCATCCATCCATCCATCCATCCATCCATCCATTTATCAAAATTCTTAACTACGCATCTCCCTCGAAGAGGGAATACAGTAATTCAAATGATTGTAATTCACTCTCCATGGCCCTTTCCTTGAAGATCACTGTGAAATTTCAGCTGCAATACCTCTGGTTTATTACCCTTATTGTAAATCACTTTGAGTCCATTTTCATTTCATTCTCTATCCCTCTATCTTTTTTAATTCTTGGGCTTTTCTCCTAACAGATCTTCTTTTTTAAAAAAAGAAGACAATCAGAGGTATCATATTAAGAAACAAATCTGATCGCCTAATGTTACAAACAAGGAGGTAACCACCCACTTCCTGCCATATTTAGAGAAACACTTAGCAGCCAGTACTTGAAACAGAATGCTATATTTGATTATTGCTTCTCCAATGACAGCTCCTTATGTGCTCCAAAGTGCCAGGACACAGGAAACTCAAAAACAGGAGCTAATAGCAGTCAATTAATCTTTATGATGGTCAAAACCATTATAAACATAAGTTAAAACCACCCAAGTATAACCCCAAAAATATAATAACATTTTAATATTTTAATGCATGGTGAGCTTCTATTAACAAAACTGGATATGATGCAGTTTATGGCAAGGAGACAAAGCCTAGCAATTAAAAGTGTGATTTCAGAATTCTGTCATTTAAAAAAACTTCAGGGTGGCTAGGCATTCTTTCCATTCAAGGACAAATTAATTGAAAATGCAGTTGCACATATAATTCATGCTTTACAATAACACGTTCTAGAATTTCAGGTTCACCAGAGGAACAAGGACATTGTTTCAGCACTAGAGGGATTCTATTATATCTGCCATTCATAACTGGAGCGGAGAAGGCATTAAAATGTGCTGCACAATGGATGTCGGTAAGAATTATGGTATTGCTAACAAAAGAAAAATTCTTCATCATAAAAAGGCAATATTTTCTCTCTCTCTCTCTCCTCCCCCCCTCTCTCTGTCTTTCTTTCTGTATCTGTATAAGACAGATTTGTTTATTTTGTTTTATTAGTCAAGCCTCCATTCTATATTGACTTCCCCTCTTCTTTATATAGGACCATTGTGGAAAATAGATCATATGTGCTATTTAATTGCTGTGCATGTTCCTGAATGTTTCTATGTTTTGTACCTGGGAGCCATAACATTGTTAAAACTATACTTTTGAGCTCATCTTATAAAATATCATTACAAGTTAGGTTTCTTTGGGGTACAGAAACCCAGTATGTAAATTCTCAAAGGAGACTGTATAGTCAATAAGGAAATTAAATCAAATGTAGAATCTTGCTGATGGCTTGTCTCTCAGATTAGTTTGATGTGCTTCTTTTGAATAAACTCTGTAGTCTGGAATCCCAAAGGAGAGAGGGAGAGGGATTCCCTTAAGCCTCCAGTCTAAATCATGCTAACCCTCTTTGCTAAAACAAATGCTACCCATTTTCATGCAAGGTAACTTGTATCATAGGTGAGGTGTAATCACTGTACCAAATAAGACAGAACATAGAATAATAGAGTTGGAAGGGACCTCAAAGGTCTTTTAGTCCAGCCCACTGCTCAAGCAGGAGACCCTATATTGTTTCAGACAAATAATTGTTCAGTCTCTTTTTGAAAGCCTTCAATGATGGAGCAAGCTATTCCAATTGCTCTCACTGTTAGGAATTCTCTTCTTAGTTCTAGATTAATTCTCTCCTTGGTTTCTTTCCAACCATTATTTCTTGCCTTGCCTTTTGGTGCTTTGGAAAATAGTTTGACACCCCCACTCCTCATTTTGGTAGGAGCTCCTCAAATATTGGAACAGTACTTTCATATCCCCCCCAGTCCTTCTTTTCATTCATCCCCAATTCCTGTAACCGTTCTTTGTATATTTTAGCCTCCAACCCCTTAATCATTTTTGTTGCTCTTCTCTGCAGAGAAGAATTTCAACGTTTTTTTGGTATTGTATTGTGACCAAAAAGGGATGCAATATTCCAAGGGTGGTCTTACTAAGACCTTGTAAAGCAATACTAGAACTTTGTTTGATCTGGACTCTATCCCTTTATTAATGCAGCCTAGAATTGCTTTGGCTTTTTTGGCTGCTGCCACACATTGTTGGCTCAAATTTAAATAACTGTCCACTAGGATTCCAAAATCCCCTCTCACAGTTACTGGCATTAAGCCAGGTTTCACCTAGTCTATATTCATTAGGCTAAAAGTAGATACCCAGTAGGGCAAAAGAGGATTTCCAGAGAAGCTTAAATAGTGAACGTGTCTCCCATAAAAGATGAGCCTACTCACTTTTACTTTGAAATCATTCTCCTCAAGGCATTCTGAGCGGTTATTCCAAACCTCTGTTGTATTTTCGATGTTTTGCCAAATCCCTTGATCCAAGCAGACTCTGTATACGTTTCTTGCACTTCCTAAAAGTAAACAGACACAGGCTCAAAGGTCAAGCCATGCATTTCATTTTTCAGCCCTGGTTTATTACTGTCACCCTTTCACCCCATGCTGGAAAGACCAAAAAAAAGGAGACTTGGCTTACTGTAGGGCAGCTCTTTGTAATGCCTGTTTATTTGGGAGGTAACTGTAGAAAGCTTAATATTTCTCAGTGGATTAACACTGCCACATCTGCACATTTCCCTATTTTTAAATATTTTTAAAAGCCTAAACGCTTGGGATAAGATTGTATTTCTTCAAATAGCTTTTAATATCTTTGTCATGCTTTAAATGAATTGCACTTGAGGTTAGAAAGCATTGATTAATTCAACATAATTGGGGTCTTTTTCTATGGAAATAGATTTCTGGTCAAAAGGATCTCTCCATCTCTTCTGTCTTTTGATGTAATATCCATCAAATTTAAGGCATCCATCCTTCCTTCAAATGTATCTCTTTCCTAAGCACAGCTGATCATGAACAGTTCTCACCAAAAACAATTATATTTGAAGACATATGAACACTTTTTTCTGTTTCCCATGATTTTTAGATTGTTTCCATCAGTTGATGTCACAATCATTGTATGATGATCATGCTTGCATGAACACAGCCAACTGATCATTCATTTAATCAACAGAAGTCTTTCTAGTTCTGCTACTTATGTTCCCTTTGACTAGAAATAAAAATGTGAATGTATCAATCTTGTATTCTGCTTCTGGGTGGTGGTGGAATGTCTTCCCATTAGGTTATATTAAGCATTAGCTAAGATCCTAAGAAAATCACTCCAGATTTGCCATGTTAAGCACACAGAAATACTGGTTTTGCCTAAAGAGAACTTTGCATTGGCATAGATGTGAAAATATAACTGTAGAATGCCATTCCATACTTAGCACCTGCTAAGAAATGACACAATTACTCCTATTCCAACAGTTATAGGTACATTACTTTCAAAGACTGCTGAACTCCAGCCAATTTTGCTAGCAAGCCTAGTGGTAAAAGATGATGGGACCTGCAGTTCAGGACATCTGGAAAGTCAGGGGTGCCCCATACCAAATCTATAGCCTTAGATGTTCAGTTTTAGGGACTCTTGCAAATGTAGAAAGATAATCAAGTTCCAGATCTTAATACCACTGCTTTTATAATTGTTGTAGTCTCTACTGATGATAGCAGAATCAGGCTGTAATTTAGTTATTTCTCCAAAAGTGACCAGAAACTATTAGTACAGAAGAATTTCATTTTAGGTCATGGTGTACTCAATATAAAACTCCAAAAGGGAAGGAAACTTATATAATGTATTACAATTTAGCAGGTTTCCAAGTTTGCATTACCATTTTTAAGCCACGGTAAATAAGATGGACAAGCAACAGAGACATTTCCTGGTGGCGAATGAGGCCAGCAAGCAAACTGATCAAAACTTCCATTACAATATATTCCTGTGAAGAAGGAGAGAGAATATTTTTGAAAGTTAACTAAATGTTACAAGAAATTGATCACCAAGGAATGCAATATCTCTAAACTAAGCTCTACAGCAATTATGTTAGGAATATGTAACTATTTGTTACTTAGTGTGTACATAAAATTACTATTTGTAACCAAGCTACCTTTCTGTAAACAGGTTTAAATGCTGACCATAAATATATTAAGTGCACCTAGTTGCCAACTTATTTTTCTTTCATAAACCAAACAGATATTGTTGAGACTAAGCCAATTTTAAATGAAGCTGCCTCACTTTTTATTTCTTTATCACAAACTTATTCTGTTACTGTTTTTAATACTAAAATTATACCATATTGCAAACCAACGTGGTTGGCTGACATTCCAGGTAGATAGAAATGGTAATTTTGTTTAGGACACTCAGCTTATTAAACTAACAATATCAAGACCAGGGGTGGGATTCTACCAGTTCTGTCCACTTCTGTAGAACCAGTTGCTCTGAAAATCAGCAAACAGAGAGCATACATAGAACCGGTTCTATGTTTGCTGCTGTTTTGGCCCACCTGCCCACCCCGGCTCTTAGCTGACCTTTATTTCCTGCATTTTCAACCGCAGCTGCTTTGTGCAAAACAGCTGTGGTTGAAAAAGCAGAAAAAAGTGCTTTTCCAACTGCTGCGCACCCACACGCAGCGCTGCTCAGCTGTCCAGGCAGCTAGCTGATGACGATATACATGTGGGCGGAGCAAAACATAAAATCACCGAACCAGTAGTTACACCAGTCGGATCCCACCCCTGATCAAGACCAATCAAAATAAATATAAACTGTCAGATTGTAACCATGATAAATAAATTTAAAAGCCATGGGAGTATAAAAATAAAATAAATTTCCAGGGTGCCCTCCCCCATTGCTTTTCCTCTCTTTGTCTTTTCTTTATCTTTTTTTGGCTTTATATACATCTTAAATGTCACATTTTAAAAAATCCTCTTTTTATGTATGCATTTCTTGCTTAGTTTTTTATTCTGAGAATTTCTTTGGCTGCATACTAAAAGCAAGTACAATATGGTAAACCAGAGGAAGTAATTCATATTGATCTCAAGAGGCCAAAAGCTTAAGTCAGAAAGTTTAAACATGAGCAACAACCAGAATTTAGATAAGGCAGACAAATAATAATTTTATCATCTTGGCCAGGTCACAACTTTGTGTTACATGTCAGTAAGATATAAAGATGTGTGAAAGGAAACAAAGAGAGAAATCAGTAATGGTTGAAAACATAAAAGCAACAACAGCTCTCTTTTTTTCACTCCTACCAACCAGATAGATAAATTTTCTCCATGACTATTTATCCTTAACTTTGGTCTTTCAGGTTTTCCAAAGTTGCATTCATAGCCACTGTAATTAAATCCATCTACCTTGCTGCCAGTCATCCTCGTCCTCTTTTTCCCAGTTTCCCATTAGATTTTTTCCAGATAGCTGGATTTTCTAAGTAAATAGGCTGGCTTATTTTTCCCATTTTATTAGGGAAAAATAACCCAGTCTATTTATTATCTATTAGTTCTTTTTAAATTCAGTATTATGTTGTATAAAATACATAGCCTCTAATAAATGACTTGCACCCAAGCCATTCTTTAAACAATGCCTTCATTTAAAATTAGTTTCAAAAATATTTTTTACTTTCTTTTTACAGTTCTATTGCTCCTTTTTATAATAACATTTCACTTAACCTCCATCTAAAATAATTATATTTTTTTTTATAAATGAAACTTACAGTTTAATTGAAACAATGTTAGTTGGTACTAAGCTTTCAAAATGAGATGGGATGGAAGATTTATAAAGATGAAGGAAGTGATGAAATAAGAAGTCAAAAAGGTCTGGAGAAGTAAAACAGATTAATAACAAAGTGTAGCAGAAGAAGAGGCAGAACCTGGGGGCAGAGTCAAGAGAGGAATCAGCCTGAAGTTGTTTTGTTCCCACAAGTGATCTAAGTCTAGTCTCGCTTGAATTTTGTTAACTTATCTAGCACCAATTTAGTGCTGATTGTTAATTGCCTAGATTCTTGTAGATAGGCTTGAGTAGTAAGTAAGTTTGGCTAGAACTTAACATTTGATTCTGATTCTTTGTACCTGACACAAAGTGGAGATTTTCAATAGGAAAACAGGACTTATAGACGCAGAATTAGAAAGAGAATTAGACAACTTGGTTCTACTGGAATTAAGAGTGAAGGAATTTTCTTTGAGATGTAGAGCAATTGCTGAGCCTTCTGATGAACATATTATAGAGACAATTAGCTCTAGCAAACTTTTTCTATTAAGAATTGGAGACTAATGAGGCAGAAAATGATAAATTTTACAGAATATGTTCTAGATTTGCAAGAACTAGAAATATCCAAGGGATATTTTGGTACATTTTGTTAGAAAGAAGGCAAGGGATCAAATTTCCCAGTGGCAATTTAATACAAGATAATTGTTTTAAAAGAAATTTTAACAGGGTTTTACACAGAAAATTGAATATACTTTTTGACTGAAAGTAAAGTAGAAAAAGATCTTTCCAGACTAAAAAGTATGACTTTTTTCTTTTCAACAGTAGATACTTCTATTGAACTCTGTTCAAAAGGTAAGAGAATATCTAGAAAGATTTAAGGAATTGGAGAAGATATAAGTGGAGATATCAAAAGAGGTTTTTCAAAAATCACACAGATGCAATAGAAATTTGAAATGAATAATGCTGAATTAGATGCTCAGTTTAATTGACTATTTTAAATTTTTGGCCTGATCATGGATTACAAATATTTTACAAGAAATAAAAATGGAGGAAATGTTCATCAAAATAGAACAAAAATCATTATTACTATTTAAAAAACAAGATATTATTTGCTTTCAAGACATTCTCTGTTTTCATATCAGAAAAATATATATAAAACACTTGATTTATAAAATTTAGGATGAAAAGTTTATCTCAGCAGTTGTGTAAGAAAAGAAAAGTTGTTTTATATATTTATCCTCAACTAAAACTAATACTTGTTTTGACTGATAACCAAGGTAGGTTTTTTGGGAGTGGAAATTATTCTACATGTGATTAAGACTTTGCTATTAGGAATTGGTGCCTTTAATGAGAAGCAAATATTGTTTTATAGATGGTTTATGGAGATATTAATAGGTTTCTTTTTATGAAAAAAATGGCATTTGATGGAGGATTGGAATGGAGTGATTTCCCCACAGAGGATAGCACTTGAGATGGACAATTTAGGGTTGGTTGAGGCAGAAAAACGGCATTTCAAGAGAATATATCTATTTTTCAGAATTACATTGGTTTTTCTCAAGAAAAGATTTGATTTGGATTTCAAAGGACTTGGCCACAAAGGTTTCTGGAGTAGAGATATTATCAAAGACCTTTTACTTCTAATAGTCATAAACTTTAGCTCATTAAAATAATGTCATCGGATTTGATTTGTTTTAATTTCTTCTTTGTCCCATCACCTTAGTGTCTTTTGTAAATCCATAGGCAAAAAATATCTCAGTCACTCTTCTGGTTTGTCATTTGTAATTCCCCTTTAAATTTTAAAACTTCAGCCAATTTCTTCTATTGGCCCAGTCCAGTGAAACAGCATTTCCTAAATCATTCTCTTGACCTGTCCATTTTCAATACCATCTCTACCTTGTCATATTAAATTTCTTCTACATCTGATATTTGTTGGAGTAACATCTTTTGGACATAATCCATTGATAGAAACAGATATCATTACTGACATTGTTGATAATATGGCCACTATTTTATGATTCCATTCATCAAAAGCTATTTTCAGTATGTTATGTTTTCTACAAACCAAAACAGGAACTATTTCCCACATGAAGCTGAGTGTACTTTATAATTCATTCCATCTCTTCCTACTGGCTATTATGGGCCCTCTTTTCTCTCCCCCCAAATATAGCCAATATAAAAGTCCCACACCTTCTTTTTTTTTTTCCCCACCACATTTACTTTGGACAGTGAGGAGAAAAAACGAAGAAAAATCTACCCTCACCCAAAGTAGCAAAGCCATCTCTGAAAGCAGCTAGGAAGCAATGGGGCAATGACCCCAGTGCTTTACAATTGCTTTCCTACAAGAGGGGAAAGAAATCCAAGACATTAGAAGACGTCAAGGTGGATGTTTTCAGCAAGAGGGCATTGCTCACTACGCAGGTGAAGAGGAAAACAACAACAATTCTGTCTTTTCTGCTTTTGCTCTGGAGCCCCAGCCCAGCTGATGCACTTTTGAAGTACATTGCCTCAATGTGCGGAGACTACTGGAACATGGTGGGGACATGTAAGAGTTCTTACATTCGTGCTGGTGGTGGTAGATGGTGGAAGATGGATTTCTGCCTTACCTTTGCTAATTTGAGATTCTTGTAGTCTCTTCAAACATTCATCTTTATATTCAAGCCATTTAGATTTGGTTAGCTCAAAATTTCCTTTGACCTGTAAGTAAAGAAAACATATTTAGCCTCTGACAGGATCCTGTCAATTGCCTGTTAAGTGAAGTTTCTAATACTCACAACCACCTTCAGTTGTCCACTCTGCTATTGTGCAAAGATTTACCCTGCAACCTTTGAACAATGAAGTAAGCAGGACATGTTAATTGCCAGCTGCCAAATTTTTGACACATACTGTAGGCTTTTCATATTCCATTAAATCCTGTGGCAGCTTAGCAAAATGGCAGACTTTTAACATCTGACATGAGGCAGAATGTTACAATACTACAGTCTGAGGCAGCTGTAGTAGAGTGGCTAAGCTTAAATGAGTCAGTGTCCTCAGATTTGGACAGTTCAAACATGCCTCTCTCTCTCTCTGCTATCCAATGTGGTTTGATATGACACATTGTCAATACTGTTGGTCAGGCAGCTCAAAAGATTAAACTTCTGTTGCTCCCTCTGTATTTTCCTCTTATGTCTCTTTGATATACCAGCAATGTCACTTCATCCTAACCTTTCTTCAAGGGACTTGTTGCACACCATCAATGAGAACTGGGGTGACAAACTTGCTTCTTGTTTTGTTCTGTGGTCAATTGGATGTTTGTGAGAAGCTCATAAGCAGGACTTGAAAGCACACTTCCTGCCCAGAAAATAGAACCACAGAGCCAAGCAGTCTCTGAAACCAGGAGAAAACACTGTGCACATTCATCAATCATTTTATAGGTACTCCTTGTTTACCTATGATTTCAGACAAGATTTCTGATGCTAAGTGGTTGTAAGGCAATGTGTCATGGTGGCTTATGACAACCTACCTAGCAGTTCCATTTGCCCTCATTAGTTGAATTTCACACAGACATGCTTCCTGCATTCATGTGATCACTATTTGTGACCTTTTGCAGGCTTCCCCTTTGACTTTCTTTGTAAGAAACTGGCAACGAAGATCAGAAGTGCTGATTACATAACTCCGGGATGCTGCAACATAATAACTGCAAGCCACTTGCTGAATACCTGAATCGCAATCATATGGCCATAGGGACACTTGACAGACACAGCTATGAGGACTAGTCATTAGTGTCTCTCATTAAGTGCTATTGCAACTATGAGCAGTTGTTGAATGAATGGATGTTAAATGAGGATTGCCTGTATTGATCAAATTCCAATCTGGTCATCCAGAGAGGGCCTGTTGAAATTTCCCTTCCCTAGTAAAGTCTGCATTGTGAGGCTGAGAAGACAAACCTTTCCTGCAACAGCCCTCACCTTTCTGTCCCAGAAAGAATGTGCAGCTTGCTGCAGTTTCAGAAGCAGGTTAAAATAGTCTTATTTTCAAATGTGCTTTCAGACCCTGCCAACTGAAGTTTAATGATTTGTTTACATTTTTATTTTGATGTTCTGATTTATTGGTTTATTTATTTAGGCTTTCTTTTTGCTGATGTTGTAAGCCACCTAGAATCCTTTCAGAGAGAAATAGGCTATAATTACTAAAAACAATAACTAAAATATATTCTACTATTTATATATTTATACAATGTGATAAGATGATTCTGTGGGGAAAAAGCAAACCAGAAATTAGGCAGGGAATCCAATCTAAACCACAACACACTACAGCAAAAATATACAGGTAGTTAAAATATAGACAGCAAAAACATCTTCAATATTACAATGGTTTGTGGCCCTCCGAAGCTCAATCCTTCTCAACAAAATTTTATTTCTTAGCGTTTATTTCCTTTTGTTTGGTTTTCTTGGGTATCACATGAGCAGCATTGACATTGAGTTCATGAAAGATAAACAAAACATATGCAGGATCAGCACTGCAAACTACAGCTAATAGATGTGTGATTGGAGAACTTTAACTTGATCGATCAATCTCAACGTTATATTGTGAATAACCTGTCTGTGCCTATTGGCTTCCATAGGCTTCCTTGTAGTTGTTTATGGTGGTTTGAAATGGCAAAAGTGCTTCTCTTTTCCAATATCTTGTACAGTTGAAAGTAGTTGAATAAATAATATATTAACAAAGGAAAGACACAAGAATTAATGTATGTTCAAGAGGAGACATTAGAATTAAATTTATTAACATCATACCGAACACTGAACATTTAGATGAAAACCATCAAGCTCAGGAATCCCATTAAATCGTTCTTGGGTATGTAATTTTCCCTTGTAAACTGCTTAATTTAAATGTTACTTTCTCATATCAAGCAAATGTTAAAAGTTGACAAAAATATTCCTAAAAAATCAAACTACTTTTTCAATTGTTTTACTTTTGCTGGAAAATAACAGTTTTGAATGGGTTTTTTAATTGATTATATTGCTATAATTATTATGTATTTACATACATATATATATATATATATATATATATATATATATATATATATATATAATTTGATACATTATAATTTATATAAGTAAATAAGTGAATAAATTACATTTAAGCACAGTTATAAATTTACATTAAAGGTTAATTGTTTTTTAATGTTTAACTTTTAATTTAAACATCCTATTTAGTTTTTCTTTTCCTGTATTGCATAAAAAGTAAGTATGTATAAAATTCAACAGTAAAGTAACAAATAAGAAACATGTTGGAGATTACACTTGGTAAAACCGACATGAAGTGCTTGGAAGAGATGCTGTGATGGGTCTATAGCTATTTGAGATATTTAGATGCTGTGATGGGTCTATAGCTACAAAGATCAAAATAGTGCAAACCATAGTAGTCTCTCCGAAACTCTATGAAAGTGAAAACTTTGAAGAAACAGATAGGAAGAGTATTGGTGCCTTTGAACTTTGAAGTTGGAGAAGACTCCTGAGAATACTATAGACATCCAGGAAAACAAACAAATGGATCATCAAAAACAATCAACCCACAGTTTCTCACTCAAGCCACAAATAACCAAGCTTAAATTATCCTACTATGGACACATTATGTCAGGAGACCTAGGTCTCCAGAAAAGGCACTAATACTGGGAAAGGAAAAAGGAAAGAGAAAAAGAGGATGTCAAGCAGCAAGTTGATGGATTCAGTTATCCTGGCAATGGATGCACTCTTGGAAGATCTCAAGGACCAAATTGGAGACATAGCATCATGGAGAAAATCTATCAGTGTAGGATTTGGCACAGACTTGATAGCAGTCATCATATAACGCATAGGTATAGATAAAATATTGCACATCTATGATACTCAAATTTCATTGAAATAATTAGGAAAAAGCTCCTTAGGGTGGCAATAATAAAAAAAGGTTCAAGAAACACTGAACTAAGGCAATATGAATGCTCTCCTGGGCAGTGAATGAAATTATGTATATTTTAAACAGGTATCAATTTCATAAGGTTAAGCACATAAAAGTTAGAGAATACAGATTAAAAGCGTACTTGTGTCTAAAAGCAAAAGACATCTAGAAAAACAGTTATAACAAACCCACCTGGCCCCAGCATTGGCATTTCCAGGATGAGAATCTGTTATATTTTTAAACTGACTTAAGTCTGAAAAGTAGACAGGAAGATCAGTGGATACATAATATACAAACAAAGGCTCTAATTTTAAAACAGAATGAAGCGTAACATCAAATAGATTGATTTGAGGAACCATACTTATTTTTGATACTTCACTGTTTGTGCTGTTGACATGGAAAATGGTTAAATCATGGTGTGACATAAATGTAGCAGGTCCACTTAATAGAAAGAATGGAAACTGGTTATTTATAACATAATATATAATCTGTGGTTTGTGACAGTAGTGATTTTGCAGATGTGATGCTTGTGGTCAAAACTCCTCCATTTATGTTTTTTGTTGTCTGAGTCTGCCTGCTATAACCTCTGGTTTTAAACAACGGCATATGGATCAATGGTCACTACGACCTTTGGCCCACTTTGAGATGCAGACCAAACTTTTCTGCATACTTCCTCTATGCCTTGAGTGATTTTCTACACCTTGATCATATTTCTCAGTCACCATTCAAGTTTCAAATGTACTCCATATTTGTCCCTTTTCTCATAAGGAAGGTATTTGAGCCCCCCTTATAGTTTTCCAGCTTCATTATATCCAAATGTAGAAGTCTTGCTCTCTCACACTTTTCTCTCTCTCGGGGGGGGGGGGGGCATTGCAGTGTTAGCTATTTTATTTTTATTGCCTTTCCTAATGATCTCCAGCACAGAATTTGCCTTTTTTTAACAGTTGCTGCACATTGAGATGAGTCCAAGAGCTTCTTGATTTGTTACAGACATCTCTGATCTCAAGAGCATATATGTATAATAGGTATTTTTTACTCCAGTGTGCATTACTTTAAACTTGAATTGAATTTGCCATTTGACTACTCAACTAAATTCACCCAGTTTAAAGACACTTTTCTAGAGTACCTCATAATTTTACCTTGTTTTTACTACCTGAATAATTGAGTATCATAAACAGACTTAGCCAGTCCATTGCCTACTGCTTAAACTGAGATAATTTATGAATAAATTTAAAAGGATCAACCCAGATTTTTGACAGACTCCACTTCTTCTTTCCCTTTATTGAGGAAACTGGCCATTTACAAGCAGGCCATTGGGGGTCACAAACTGACCATTTTGAGAAGATGTCAAAACCTGCAAGTTGGCAGGAAGATATCAACATTAAAGCCTCTTGTCAACATGGCACTTTTCTGTTAATTAAGCAAGATTTCTCCTTCATCAGATTCTGGATTACACTGCTATTTATTTTAACAGATGGTTGTAGACATTTGTAATGTTATTTAAAGAGTATCATTAAAAGATAATGAATTTAGAATAAAAACCCAATATGACATCAATCCTGCATAAAAATACATGACTCCAAAAATTTAAAGTACCACAAAGCATACTGTACTGAATGACAAAATTAGAATCTTTTGGAGCCTGGAAGAACAGAATAGTTTGATCTGCCATTAAAAACAGACATGACCATCAATTTGATTTCATACATCATTGGAATTACTTCACAATATCAATATAGGAGCTACAATTATCCACAGAAATTTGCATCCTATATTAA